TTTTTTTGGTGTCATAAATTTTAAAGCATAAAAGACATGGAAAAGTATATGTAACGGATGTCATTTTCGAGTGTAAAGTTCGTAACAACTGTTCAAAATTGATTGGCGGTATAATGTGATATGTTGTATGAATGGTCGACTGTCGATCTTTTTTGCATGTGATATAAATGTGACATAACTGAAGTGAGCCAAATCGGCCCATATGAATATCTCTGAAAAATTAAATAAGGCAGAAGAAAAGTTGAATGAGGCAGAAGTGAAGAGTTTGATGTGGAAGTTGAATAGTAAAATAAGACGTGAAAAAGATGCAGTAGAAAAGGAAAATTTGGAGGGGGATAAAAAAGATTTAGATGAAAGAGACGACTTGGAGAAGGAAAAAGAAGAGTTGAAGAAGAAAAATGAAGAGTTGAAGAAAGACAAGAACAATTGGAAGGAGCAGGTGATAAAATTGCAGGTTGAGTTGGTAGAATTTGGTAAAAGAGTAGGTTAATGAACAAATTATGTAAAAAAAATATACAAAATATTATTTCCGCTCATTCCATTTCATTTATTTGTTTGTTTGTTCGAGTGGATATTTGATATATTGTTTATGACATTTACTAATACTAACTTTTATTTGCTTCATTTAACCATTTTTCAAGAAGAGATAAAAAGAGGCAATCATCTGAAGAAGGTATAAAAGAGATCCATTTTTTATTTGGATAGACGTTGTTTATTAGGTTAAAAAAATACAACAATAAGCCAACTATATCTTGCCTCAACCTTTAATTAAAAAATTCATTGTAATAACATAGGCGAAAATGATGCAATAAAGAAACTTAAAGAAAATGATATTATCAATTGGGAAAAGGCATTTAAAATGACTTTTCAAGATCCTGGAAGCTATGTAGGCTATTTACATGAAGAAATTCAATTTGGAATTAAAAATGCAAACGCATATTATAATTATATAGCACTTATACAAAGCTCTGGATATGGAAAAAGCCGAGCTGTTAGGGAGCTTTCAAAATTGAATTATTGGATATTATTATTCTGTTTCCGGTCAAATGAATCATCAGGTTTTCCTCCAAAAACACCCAAATCTAATGAATTTCTCAAAGAGTTACATGAGTGTGAAAATGCAGATGATGCTGAAAAAGTAGCTTGACTTTGGATTAGTGTTTCTGTGCAGATGATTAGGAAATACAAAAGCAATGGTTATGATTCTATTGGATTTTGGGAGATGCAAATAGTGAGTACATCTATATATAGTAATTAATTATGTAATTATTATTTCTCTAACTCAATGCAATGGTGGTTGCAGGATAATAGTAAAAAATTTTGGGATGAAGTTGGAAAAGCGAAAGATAATCTTTTTGGAGAAAATTGCAACACTCTTATTGCAACCACACGAAAATGCTGTGCTGATCTGGATTCTGGTAAGATACTTTGTATGTTTGATGAAGATTCTTGGCTATTGGACCCCAGTACTGTTTCATATGGTAAGTACACATATATTGGTTAATAGGTAATTTATAATATTAACATGATGTTTAACTATCATTGCAAAGATGATCGCAATAACTTTCCATATAGAGGATGCAGAAGAGCACTATTCAGGATTGGAGCGTGCATATTTGGAATAATGACAGATACAAATTCAAGCATTGGAAATTTGGTTCCTAAAGAAAGTGATGATAAATCTGTAAGATTTACAAATAATTTTTCCATACACAGTCTATCTTATTTCTTCATTTATTTACTGCTATTTTATAGACAAGAAAAGTTGGAGATGATGTGAAGACTCTTTTAGGCCCATTTATACATATTGCATCAACAGATATATACAGGTTTGAATATTTACCTACTTAACAATGCTTAGAATGGATTATGGACACTAATAAAATTTTTTGGTAGTGATAAAACAAAATTACCCCAAGAAGTTGATAGTTTGAGAGAAATGATGGGATTTGATCTTTGTTTATATAGGCGTCCGCTTTGGATGGCAAATCTTGTAGCAACAGGTGACATTAATGGGACTATATCTTTGGCTAGAAATAAATTGACTGGGTCAATTTTGCCCTCAATGTTGGGAAATAACAATAATTATGAAGAAAAATGCATAATTGCTTTATCACATTTTGGTTGTACTGTAGGCCTTTATATTTGTCCTAGAGCAAAATTACCTTCTCAATTAGCTTGTAATCATATGGCAACTATAACTTATGCTAATGAAAATGGAACAGAGGTGTTAATTTATTATCCATCGGAACCCATTTTAGCTGAAGCAGTACTGGTGACTTTGCAAAATGATTATTATCGAAAAGCTGCAATAACAGTATTAAATAATACAATTTCTATGGGTGGAATAGTTAATTCTGGTGATCAAGGAGAACTTGGCATGAGAATCATTTTGCTGACTGCTTGGATACGCTGTATTAAAAAAAGAGGTAGTAGCTTATTTTTTTCTTGTAGAGTACCTGTCAAGGACTTTATGGAAGCACTTTTTCCCAGATTTGAAAAAATTAAAGATCACCATAATACATGGGAGGATTATGAAATTGGGTTTACACATTTCATTCAAATTACATATAAACCAGACTTGAGAAAGTTTGGATGCGTTATGGTGCAATAAATCTAAAATATAATAATCAAGGTGGTGATATTCTGTTGGTAATCAGGCATAAAAATAAAAATGAATTTGGATGTATTGTTATTCAGGTAGTATCACTCATTTTCATATATTTTTGCAAATATAATTTATATATATTTATTCATTAATAATATGTATTATTGTTATTGGTTTTGACAGTTATGAATCAAAATGTATATGATTATGTTGGCAGAAAATTAGAAATAGATTAATTATATCCTGAGTAATAATCTGGCAAATATTGTTAAAAATAATTTTTATTTGGCTATTTATGCTCAAATTGGTAAGAGATATAAGTACAATTTTTTCATCTTCATGTTAAATATTAAGCTTTAAATTTATATATATGTTTTCTCTAAATAGGCAAGGCATTTACAGTTGATACAGAGGTCATAAGTTACAATTATGAAAAATTTTCAGAAAGTTGGAAATTCAAACAAGCCTCTGCAGAAAGTGATGAAAACAAAAAAAATGCAATTAATAGAATAGTGGTGTTAGGATTGTTAAATTTTTATGAGGGGAAAACTTTTGAGTTTGAAGCAATGCAATCTTTTATATGTGCAAGTAATGATCCTTTTATAAGAGAAGCAAATAGTAAAAATATTAAAAGAGCAAGTTTATTATTACGTATATTACCATTGTTTTATCAGCAAAACAAACAAGAATAATTTGTTTAATTATATTAATTATAAATCTTATAAAATTAATGTATCTTAACTACCTTAATTATTCTTAGCTTTTTTAACATTTATACTTTTAAAATTTTCTGAACTTATTATGCATTAAACTTTTATATTTACTCAAAAATAAAAAAAAAACAAAGATTTGAGAAAATATGGGTTAGAATCTTTGTTACACTTTTTTGCAAATTTTCTAAATTCTACAATTTCAATAATAAAGGAAATTCAATTGCTTTTATTTTATACTATTTTATTGATCATTTTTTTTTTTTTAAAAAATACAATGTAAATATAAAATTATATATAGAGATAAGTATATATGAAAAGTAATAATAAATATAATAGTTCTAATAAATATTAGCAATTGATTTTTTAAAAAAAAGTTATAAATATAACTATTCTTTAAGAATTTCTAAAAAACAATTTGTTAAATTAAAGAAATCCTATCAAGTTTTTTTTTAAAATAGAACAAGACATATTTTTAATGATTTAACTTAAAGCAATGAATAATAGGTCAATGAACATTAGTAAAAAAAAAACTAAATTTAATAAAAGAACTTTCTATCATTAGGATTATACTCCTTTGTTAAGAAATTTATCTTAATATATTAGGAATTAATAAGACTTATTTTGAAAATATTAGAAATCATCTAATAAATAATGATCTTTTGCTAAAAATTCATAATGATATTAAAAGAATGTCTTAATAGAAAACTAAAATGATGATTGATAAAAATGTTTCTGAAGTAGTAAAGAATTTTCTAGAAAATTATGCAGAAATTCATAGTTTGTCAAGTTCAGGAAGAAGAATCAATATAATAACTCAATCAATTGTATTTTTATTAGTTGAAATAAGTTATAAATCAGCATATAGAGACTTTCTAGCTAGTCTAGAAGAAAATAGAAAATTGAAATCCTTAAAATATGATATCTTCAGAAAATTATGACATCAATTGATACCAGAAATTCAAATCATGAATTCAAGAACTGATTTTATAATACTTGTTGTTACCGGTTAAAAATTCACTATTGAAAAGATGATCTATAAAGAATTATTAAATGATTTACAGAAGTTACTGGAATTAATTTTATGTCGATCACAAATTAGAAGATCTGCATAATTCTAGATCCATAGGATTCTTAGGATTTACCTGATAAGCCTTATAAGTTGGATAATTGTTATAATACTTATTTTTATTATTTTAATTATTTTTATTATTATTATAATAATTATTATCTTTGTTATTATTATTATTATCATTATATTAGCATTTGTAACTACAAATTTAGTTAGTTTATAGCGTAGCAACTAGTTAACTATAGCAAATTAATTTTGTATAAATAGAATAACTTTTTGCTTAAACTGTAAATTAACTCTATTGCGAGTTTCAATTTTATTAGAGAGAGAGAGAGAGAGAGAGAAAGAGAGAGAGAGAGAGTTACAAGTTCAAGTAATAAATAAAGGAATCAACTTTGAAAAACAATTACTTTTCCCTTCTACATGTCCATCATCTAGGATTTGATCATGAACCACTACACTAACTTGCAATTGAGTTCGTTACTTAAAATAACTAAATTCTCTACATTTTTTCTAAGTTCCTAAACCTTTAAGTATATAAAATTAAGTAAAATAATTTCAAGGCATTCTGAATACCTGTAAGACGTGAGATTCCCTAAGGTTGTAAAGTCCGACAATAAGGAATTTACTTGCTGCAGTAAAGTAACTTAGTGAAACATGTGTGATATAAAGAGAATTATTCCTGGTGACATTATCAACATTTTAGAAGTAGTTTATATTATAAATTTTGCCAAAAGGAAGAAGATTTACTCAAAAGATTTAAAGAACATCTATTCAAAACCAAATTAAAAAGAAATTATTATAATAAAAATATCAAATTAACAGAAGAACAAAAAGAACTAATTAATTAACATTATTCAAAAGTAAAACACAATATAGTAATGTTGATGCTACTGCTTATTATAATACAATTAAATTCAAAATATTCATATATCACATTTAGATTAACAAATAAATAAAATCTATTATCTTAGTTCATGTAAAATTTATTTATTTGGTATTTAAGATGAAGTAATAAGAAGTAAATTAATTATATTTTTAATGAAAATAAAATTATAAGAAAAGGATCCAATAGTATAAAAATAATGTAACAATTTGATTTTGTTTATATTTGGTAATTTATGATTATTATAAAAGCATTGAATTGAATTTAATGATTTCTAAACATATTAAATTTAAATATAATAGTAGTATTGATATGATTAAAAAACTTTATAGAAAAACAAGAGTAGATTGTCTGAACTATATAGTTAATATAATGAAAAGATCTAGTTTAACTGAATTAAATAAAACTCAATGCTACAAAGTAGGAAAAGGTTTTCAATACTTAGATATTAAAGCTATTTTAGAAATTTATTTTAAAAAATTACCAAATATGTAGAAATATCAATATCTTCTTTTTGAATTCAATATATTAAAAACTAAAAAAAATGGATATTTTTAAGAAATTAAGGCTTTATCTATTTTAGTGTTAATACATCTTCTTTGAATTATAAAAGACAAGATTTATTTTTATAACAATATTTATCTATTTGTAAAAAATGAATGCAAAGATATTACTTATCTAAGTCCATTCTATATTAGCAACAAATAAAATATTTTAAACAAAATTGAAAATAAATGTGTAAGTTATCTAAAAAGAAATTTGAATAAATTTGAAAAGGTATTTTTCATAATAAATTTACTTTTAAGAATGTTGTTAAAAGTTTTACTAAAAAAGTATAATATTATGAGCATTTTTTGATCTTTATTTTAAGAAAAATAAGAAATTAAAAAAAAAGAATATTATTTTAAAAAAAGAAATGCTAAGTTAAAGAAAACTAATCAAAAGTTAAAAAAAAACAAGAAAAATTAAAAGCAAGAATAGAAGAGTTAGAAGAGTTGTAAAATGAATTGGAAATAAAATATGAAGAAATTAAGAAAATCTTAATAGTTAGTAAAAAATGATATAAAAATCAAACAGAAGATATAAAAGAAAAAAACAAGAAACTTAAAAGTACTAATGCAAAGATTTCTTATTTAGAAATCCAAGTTGAAAAGTTAGAGAAAGAATCAAGTCAAAAGAGCAAAAATAAAAAACTAAATAAGTAATTAACTGATAGTAAAATACAAAATAAAAATCTAAAGAATTCATTCTATATTATCATTTCTTTATTTTTAATTTTGATATATTTTAACTAACCTTTTCACTATTATTTCAATATTTAATTTAATTTATTTCTATATCACAAATTTATCAGTATTTCAATGTATATTAACTAAAGCTCTGCATGAGCTGACTCAAGTTAGCTCAACTATCAGCTTAAGCTGAGCTGATTTATTTTAGCTCATGAGCCAGCTTGACTCAACTATAAGATGTAATAAGTTAAGCCAGTTCATAAGCCATACAAACCAGTTTGTAAAGCTTATATTATTAATAAAAATCTGAAAATAATTTTTGAAATGATTGAAAAATTCTGAAAAATGATTTTCTTTAAATGATTCTAATCATCTTCAAAATAACACAGGTTGAACAAAGGATTATCAGGTGATCATCAATCATCTGATAGCCCTCCTTTTTTTTATTGAATCTGATTTAAAAGAAATCTGATAGCTCTGCATGATATCAAACATATGTTTGATGCAGATTATAAATAATTTATACAACTTTCAGGTTGGCATATTTCAGATAATTAACAGGTAAATATAGTACAAATATCAGAAGGAATATTAGACATCCTGATATTTCTATAATTTTTCGATAAATCAAATATATATTGTTTATATGTGGAGTCCCAATGTTTAAACAATTTTTTTATAGAAATAGTCACAGTATTTTCATTATGTAATATTATTATTGCACCTATATTCATTGCTTTATTGATATATTTGTTATTGCTAATACACTATTAATAAATAATACGTTATACAATACTATTGTTATATATTATTAATTATATGCTATTATTATACATTATTATTAATTATATACAATAAGGTCGCGTTCTACATATAAAAAATAAACAATTAATTATATAAATAAAAATAAATTATAATTATTATTTCAATAAACAAATAATATTCACTTATTATTAATAATAAAGCAGAGTTCTATTCGAACTGTTACAAAGATGAAATAGTTCATTTTGAGGCGTTGGATGGCAGTTTTGAATTGTCTACATATGTATTATCATTGTACCACCTTTTTCTTATAACCTTGATATTCTGTGTTGTTTTACATATTAAATTTGTGTATCGTAAGAAACGTTAAATATGTTGTCAAATGTTTTGGATTACCCTTTGCGATCTCTATTTCTTGTTATATACATAAATAATATGATTTGAATTTGCATTTCTAGACAGACGAATATTCTTGCTTTTCTCTTCTTGTGCTAGAAGAAAAAGTGATTAATAAATACTTCATTGATAAAACATTAGTAACTATTTGCAATAAAAATGCATTACCTTTTTCATCATCTGATTCAGAAATTTAATCCGATTGATAATTAGAATCATCAACAATTTTTTTAAGATCCTTAACCCAATTATCCTATTCCATCAAAGGTTGTAAGTCTATTAGCATTTGATCATTAGTATGTAGCATATGATATAATCCTCTTTTTTATCGATCCTTTTTCTTTGTAATAAAACGGAATAATAAAATGTTAATAATGTAATAAACAAGTCTTTAAAAATCAATAAAGTTTTATTAAATGCCACAAGATTGATTCTAAATAAAGTTAATATCTGATACTTACGTCTTTTCGTCTACTATTCGTATCAATTCTTTATTTTTCACTTTGGCCTTTAAAGGGTTTAATGATACAGTATATGTATCTTTTCTATGGCGATGAAGGTTCTGTAAAACTTTCTTCAATTCTGTGTCAGTATATTGGAATTTATCACTGAGTACCCTCTTTATAGCTGGTAT